CAAATTAGGTGTGCCACAAGGTTCAATTCTTGGTCCCCTTTTATTTTCAATATATGTTAATAGTCTACCTGAATGTACTCCTGAAGGTATCATAGATATGTATGCTGACGATACGACACTTACCGTCAGTGCACATGATGCAACTGTTGTGGAAGAAAAATTAACTGTTGCGTTAAACAGAGTCATGGCATGGATTAAGGAAAATCGTCTTGTTCTTAACACTGAAAAAACTTGTGTCATGTTAATAGGCTCTCCTGCTAATCTCAAGAAAATTGAATCTTTTACCATTTCATTAAACGGCAATTTGATCAAAAGAGTTCAATTCACCAAATGCTTAGGACTTTTGATAGATGAAGAATTGAAATGGTCTAAACAAATCGAAAACGTAAGTAAACTTACCCAGAAAAACATTAGCATGATAAAGAGAGCAAAAAGTTTTTTGCCTCAAAAATCCTTAAAGTTACTTTATAACAGTCTAGTGTTGCCACGATTAGATTACTGCTCTGTTGTATGGTCGAACCGATTTCATTCTCATACAACTAAGCTGCAAAAAATTTAAAAGAGGGCCGCAAGAATAATATTGAACAAGACATATGACACACCGTCGGCTGATTTGTTCACAAGTCTTAAATGGATGACACTAGACAAGCGGTTTGAGTTAAGTCGCGTTATGATGATATATACATGCGTTCATAACTTAGCACCTTCTTACCTTCAGGTAGGCTTAATCAATCCTAATGATGTACATGAGCATCATACAAGGCAAATAGACAGTGGATGTTTACGTGTGCCTAGATTTCACACTGATTGTTATAAGTGTAGCCCAATTGTTTCTTCCATATTTGAATGGAATAAGCTAGATAATTCATTGAGAACGGCTTCCTCTGTCAATTCATTTAAGAGATTGTTTAAACATGTTCTGTAATATTTACATGACTTATTCACATAATTGCGACTTAATTAATATTTTCCTATTGACATTACTGTTTACTAGGTTAATGATTATATTTATTTTGCAAACGAGTATTATTTTTGTAACTGTTCTGTATAAATGTTATAAACGATGTAAATATGTTCATTCAGGGCCCCATGGAAGACCACTACTTGTTGGTGAATGGGCTACCCTGTCAAAATATTAGAAATAAAATAAAAAACATTGGTTTTATTTAACCACACTAGTATTAATAGTATTCACTTTTATATTGTGATGATTGTTAAATGTTAAGTTGAAATGTAATTATTTTGTCTGTATTTATATATTTATATTTGTATGTACATGTAAAGCACCTTTTAAATGTCCGAAGGCAAATTTTATGTATTTTTTACATGACAATAAATTATCTTGAATCTTGAATCTTGAAATACATGTGCATCTTTGATCAGGATCTGATCCACAATATTTCATATATAAAAAGGCCAGATAATTTATATGCACATGCACCAATACAATACATAGGATCTTTTAATAACCTTTTACTATTCCATTCCATACACATGAACTTTTTCAAAGTAATAAAGATATTTATGAAAAAGATTACAGAAAGCATGAAACGAGATTTGAACCATAGCTAAAGGAAGGGTGAACAGCAATATTTCAGTATTCACTTTTATACCTCTATAACTCCCACCTCCTGGAGGTGAAAGTTTGATATTAAAAGTAGCCTGTCATGATCTCTCTACACACCTGTTTCCTAATTTTCCTCTTGTTGAGGCACGTCTTCTCCAGGCAAACAAGGATAATTTTCATCTGGCTCATCATAACTGCAGCATAGAGAAAGAAAAGATATATAGATCTTAATTCTTAAGCCGACTTGACACTATAACAATCTACTACGATCCGATTTTGGAAGAATTTGTAATAGCATTTGATACAAACATTCATACATGTCAAATCTTAATGGATAGAAATATGATTGAAATGTCAATTTTAAGGGATTTCATGTTTCTTTGGAAGAGGGAAAGCTAAATCGACCCAGAATTGAAGTGGCATTAGACCATCAGACGAAGACTTAATGCATGGCTAATCATCAACGAACTCTGTCAACTCTGTTTGTTGCTACAGCAGGCATCCGGCCAGTGAAAACAAATTCGTTTAATCAAATTATGGAAATGCAAGCATTACTTTAAAGATATTATGTCCCTTTTGCAGCCAATATCAAATTATGTAGAACTTTGTAGGAATTATGAATATGTCATGTATGTCCTATCTGAGAAATTTAAATGTTAGCAGTGTCCTAATATTCAAATTGTGCCAGGAAACCCGTTTACTTGCTATACTTCACTGTCAGACACTATTGAGTGACTGACTGGCTTTTTTTCTTCTTTGGTAATAACATATATAAAATGAGCTGTAAAGGGTACATGAACATTTGTCTACATCAATAACCCACTTCTTGATACTATAGATCATGAAATTTTGCTAGGGAAATTATCGCATTATGGTGTCAGGGGCACAACTTAGCTGACAGGAAACAATTTGTTTCTTTAAACGGTTTTGATTCAGGGTTACAGAATGTCACATGCGGCGTTCCTCAGGGATCTCTCCTTGGTCCGCTCTTGTTTATTGTATATATTAATGACTTTCATTTCTCATCTGATATTTTGTCATTCATTTTATTTGCTGATGATTCCAGCTTGTACTATTCACACAAAAATTCACAAACTCTGTTAGAAACGGTTAATTTCGAACTAAGTAAAGTTACTTTGTGGATTCAAGCAAATAAAGTGTCTTTAAATCTGCAAAAGACAAATTATATGTTTTTTAGTAATACAATCAAAGTGCTTCCAGGAGATGTATCATTTAATAATGTATTGATAGATAGGGTATCATCAACAAAATTCCTTGGTTTGCACATTGATGAGCAAATGAGTTGGAAAATTCATGTTAATCATCTCTATAAGACATTGTCAAGAAACAGTGGCGTAATTCATAAATTGAAATCAATTTTACCTAAAGGCATCCTTCTATTAATGTACTCAACATTAATCCTGCCCTATCTTAATTATGGTGTTCTTGCTAGGGGTAACTCTCTTAAAACTAACCTTGAAAAGTTATACTTGATTCAAAAGAGGGTCGTAAGAATTATTTGTAACGTTAGCTTTCGTACGCACACTAATCCGCTTTTTTATACGCATAGAATTTTAAAGGTGCAAGATATTTATCACCTTCAACTGGATTCTTTAATGTACGACTTCGATTCTGGTGTCCTTCCACAGGCTCTAGTCAGCATTTTAAAGAAAAATTGTCAAGTTCATGACCATGCTACACGAAATGCCTCTGCGTTTCACTTGCCCCAAGTAAGGACAAAGTTAACTTTTAATACTTTGGTTTTTACTGGACCTAAATTTTGGAACTCTCTAGGCTCTAGCGTTAAGCAATCTGTTAGTCTCTCTTCATTTAAGTGTACACTTAAGGTTTATCTTCTTGATAAATACTGTGACTCATAGAGTAGTTCATTTTTGTAGTTATTATGGTGCCAAGATGTATTATGTATTACTATAAATGCAAATTTTCTTCTTGATATTAATATGTGTCTAACTGAATATTTTCAGATTGTCAACCTCTTATTCCCTCCCCCTGTTGTCTTGTGCCCGTTGTGTGCTGTGCCTATTGTCGATGTGTTGTAGTCTTCTATTATTTCTCATATTTTCTCTTTTCTCCCGTCTTGTCTAGTCTCGTCTCTCGTTTTGTTGTTGTTGTTGTTGTGTGTGTACACTTCTTGTTTTGTTATACCCCCTTTTCCCTATTGTATTCTTAGGTAGTCACAAATATCTATTCATCATGTTTATCCGGCTCAGAGGGGACCCTAATAATTACAAGCTCTGCTTTTACCAGGGTCTCCTCGTCTTTCTTTTAGTTAACTTTGTTTTTATCATTGCCATAATTTGCATTGTAAATGTGTAATGATCCAATGTTATGCTCTATATGTCATTTGAAAGAAAGACGAATAAAATCTTATCTTATCTTATCTTATCTTGTAATGGCCAAAATTAAACTGATTGAATCTTTGCGCAGCATAAAACGTAGTAACGTACGACCATTCGGTACAATGGTCTGAAAATCAGACTATTACTTACTGGCTCTATAGCTCTTAAGTCGATTCGACAACTAATAGTCGATATTTTCCCACTTAAAGACATTTTCAATCCCCTCTTTTTTTAAGGGAAGTTCTAAATTAGTATTATCTTTCAAATGCCGTTGGAATTTAACTTTTCTTCTTTTTTTTAGGCCTGCGAATGGGACATAGTACCTTTAAACGAACAGAACTTTGTTATTCCTGGCTCATTTTTCCTGATTGAGGTGTCATGTGAAAAGCCAGATTTTTTTGTTTCTAGAAATGTGATTTTTCTCTTCGAAATTCAGATAACGCCCGCCAAATGACTTGTTGGTACCCTTTCTTCAAATTGCTTTTAATCACTTATGCGTGAAATATGCATCATATGGGTTGCATCGAATTAAAGAGGAGGATGTAAACTTTACAAATATGTGTCATTTATTAAGTATGATTATGATTAAGTTATGATAAAACATCGATAATTCCAGTTTCGTTTTTTCTGGGACGCACTGTATAGGGCTCGCACGGAAACCAACTCCGACTTGGTTCCGTGCGATCCCTACATTTTTGGTTTCCTATAATTATTCTTTATTTTCTTCATACTCCTTATCAGTTTACTAATACTTGTATAAAATGGCGGCAATTTTGTGGTTGATTTCATACAATCTAGCCATACACAAATTATGTTTTAAGGTGATTGCTACGTATTACAAAATCAGAAGAAACAATTCATGAACGATCATTTTAATTCCATTTGAAAATGAGTATTACCCTTAATAACAGTCATTTTATGGGAGATTAAAAAGAACTGACATTCTCTTACCCAATTTTACTATCGTTATCTTCTTCCTTTAGACCTGCAACTTGACTTGCAGGTGGATCTCCAACTTGCCCTGCAACTTGCCCTGCAACTTGACTTGCAGGTGGATCTCCAACTTGACCTACAACTTGCCCTGCAACTTGACTTGCAGGTGGATCTCCAACTTGCCCTGCAACTTGACTTGCAGGTGGATCTCCAACTTGCCCTGCAACTTGACTTGCAGGTGGATCTCCAACTTGCCCTGCAACTTGACTTGCAACTTGATTTCCAGCTTCCCTTGCAGTTTCATTTCCACATACAGTCCTTTGTATTTTATCTAAAGATATATGCCAATTTACAGCATATACCAGAAAAAAACGAAACCCCACAGAAACGGTTAGTGTAAACAAACTATATACTTTATACGATTCCTTGCTTTGCATGAAGCCGAAGGAATATTTGCTTTCGAATTATCAATTCATGACATATATGTACATCGTTCACTATTGTAAGACACTAATTTTGTAACGTTTCTTATGTTGTTTATTCATTGCCACATCTAGCTTTCCATTCACTTTACATTTTCATTTCTTACATTCTTCTCCTTATTCAATCAATTAGTGCCTCGTTTGTCCCTTTGTTCATTGTTACTCAGGACCTAGATTCCTTCTTCCCTACTCACCTGTCAGTGGTTCTATTCTTTCCTCCTTAAGCCCCTTTCACACCGGGCCATACGTAGAGTTAGTGTTGCATACCGACTACGCCGAACGTACGCTGCCCTACGCTGCATGGCCTACGTAACTATACACTAAGGTACGCAAAGGGGTACGCGAGATGGATTGTTTTCGCGTACTTTCGGCGTAATCACTAGACGCAGAAAGTAGGCATTTTTTACGCAAGTTACGAAACACTATCCTACAGTATGCAAAGCCTACGCAATTGTACGTTACCCTACGCCAGTCCGACGAAGCAGTAAAAGCTTGCGCACACAATAAGCGATCGTACGCAACCGTAAGCAAATCTATACGCCAGGCCTACGTAAACCTAAGCCTACGCAATCGTACGCGTAGGTAAGCCAATTTCATACGCCGTATGTACGCGGTGCCTATGCACAGGGTACGTAACCATACGCCATCGTACACAAGCCTACGCATAGCCTAGGCAGGAACTACGCCGAAGATACAAAAAAAATTAACACGCAGCCAATTTTCGGCGTAGTCGGTAAGCCACACTACGCAGATCCGATGTGAAAGGGGCTTTACACACTTCTCAATAATTTACATTAGTTCTCCTTCGCTCTCAGGCTATACTATAATTGGACTTGTCCATTTTCTGCTATGCCACCAGTTAAGATGTTTTAAATGTAAATAAAGTAACGTCAGAGAAATAAAGTAGACCACTACAGGACTTTAACTAGTATACATCTATTTAATTTGGCTCTCATTTAGCTACTGACTTGGAAGTTAGTTTGATCATTATTTGTATTGCTGACTGATGTTGATTAATTCTGGTTTCTGATTGATTGTTTGTGGGGATGATTATCAACTATAATTAAGAAGCTTTACACTATTAAGCAACTTTGTTTTGAAAATGTCATGTAAAAATCCATTTGTGCCAGATTTGGGAAAACCACGAACACGTTAGGATCGTACATTAAGACGACAAAACATGACCTGAAGAAAACACACATTTTAAAACCAACCGAGATCAATTTAAAGGCTTTTTTGTAATACCATCAACGTAAAATAAGGATAGTGGATATATCATGGATGGGGAGGGTAAAAATGACAAATTTTGTACTAAAATGGGTCTATGATTGTTATGGACAGTGATTTTTGCATTTTTATTTTAAAAGCCACTATTTTTTCAACAACATATTTTTTAAGGTAGTCCAGCTAGAAGTTGTGCAGTGAGCCTGAGGTACCCTTAACACGTTCATACCAAGCAACCTTTTACAACACACCATGTCTCAAAAACCTGCTTTGCCCCCAGCCTGGGTATAGTGATTTGGCAAGTTAAAGTGTCATGAATGTGTCCCTTATTATACTCATACATTCATGTTGTAGTTCAACAATTCACAACACTTCATTTGGTGGGCATTGAATTTTGGGGGGAATTTATTTATTCAAGGTAAAACTCACATCAGCCTAAAAAGACTGCTTTTATAATTATGAATGGAAACACATTGATAAAAGCTCAGAACCTGCCAAACATTCACTGCTTTCCAAAATTGCCCTTCATGAAGCACTAGCCGATATATGCATTAAGAGTACATGTATATTAATTACCAAGATAGAAAGAAAATGTATGTATCAGAGGTCATAATTCTTTATTTGCAATACCATGTTTGCAAAGTCATTACAACTGATTGGAGTGCTCTGAATCGTGCATATATACGCAAGTACAATGTACATCTACTACTACATAATACAGTGTGGATCCAAAAAAAATTGTACCCATCTTAATATGTAGCTCATAATTAAAAGGTCATAACCAATATGTCTATGAAATTGATTTCATAATGAAGAGTAACTCATTTTCTGTCAGATTATACCCTATTCATAATAATTTCTGCCATGGGTGAATGAGCGCCAGGGTCTTTAAAAATTAATGTCAAAATTGTATTGTACCAAGGTAGGGCTTAAGGAACGAATGTGTGTCAGGCTATATGCATGTACTTCTTTGGTCTTAAATCCTTTTAAAAGATAACTCATGCTTTACGCTTTGGTGCTTCAGTGTTTAAAGTGATGCTCGACAGAATAACCTTAATTATTTTGAACAGCCCAATAACTTCTTTTCTCATGATATCTAAGTTCTCTCTGCTCACTTTTCCGCTGTGCCAATTCACAAGGGTAAGGAGAATAAGACGTGTATCTCGAATAGCAAATGAAACTTCAAAGGTTACTTAATCCAAATGCAAGAAAGAACATTTATGATGATAAATATCAAAGAAATTGACAGCAAACTTTCATGAAGAAAGATAACATCCCAAATAAACTTTATCCATTTTGTATCACTGAATGAGGGATGCAAATGAAGTCAAGATTGTAATCATCATAATGAAGAGAATATCATACATTATATAAGTAATGAGCATTTCCTTGAGTTTGAGTTGTTACTAACACCTTTTTTTTTCCAACTGCCTAATTATAATAGTCAATGTAAATAAATAAGCAATTATTTTTGGAATAAGATAGCATACACATCATAGTTTTTGACTTACATTCATTGCTTCAGCCAAAACTTGGTACAAGAAGATTTTGACAATACTTTTTTTTTGAAAGCCTGCTGTTCGTTCATCTGTGGCAGCACAATTATGACAGGGTATTGGTTCCTCCTTACAATGTTGTTGTTGACGAAATTTGTTTTCACTGGCTGCCTGCCGTAGCAACAAGCAGAATTGACAAAAGACTTAACTCCGTTCCGTTGACAATCAGGCATGCATGAAGTCTTTCGTCTACGGCTGATTGTTACGTATTTTGTTAATTCCGTTTGTTGCTACGGCAGGCAGCCAGTGAAAACGAATTGGTTTAATGAAATTGTGGAAATGCAAGCACTACTTTCAACAAACAGAACTTTGTTATTCCTAGCTCATTTTGCCTGACTGAGGTGTCATATGAAAGGGCAAACACTCAACTTTCTAGAAATGTGATTTTCTCTTTGGAATTCAGATACCGTCCGCCAAAAGACTTTTTGGTTTCCTATCTTCAAATTAATTTTAATTACTCATGTGTGAACTATGCATGATATGAGTTGCAACAAATGAAAGAGGAGGAACAAAGCTTTACAAATATGTGTCATTTATTAATAATAACTGTGACTAAGTTATAAAAATATTGATAATTCTCGGTTTCGTTTTTTCTGGGACGCACTGTATAAGAAGCCATTATTACTTTTAATGGTCTACAAAACCATCCACATTCTATTGAAATCCAATTTAAATACCAGAACTTCAGATTAGCTGAAAGTGTACCAATCACCTAAATATAATTTTTGTTGCTAGAATATATATATATATATCAATATAACAAAACAAATAAAGGGAATCCAAGTCAGACTTTGGGTCCATGCGGGTCATATACCATACAAGCGCAAATGGGTGCATCGTGTTGTGTTAATTGAGAGTGTTAGCTTGCGATACCCGTTTATAGAAATAATTTTAAAGCTCATATCTTGAATAGTAAAGGTACATGCTACCTCTAATAAAACATACAGAACATATGTTTTGGTGCTTGGTACACTTTAAAGGGGAAGTCCACCCTGATAATAAAATGTAGCTGTTATTAAAAGCAGACAAACAGGAGAAACAAATAAGTGAAAGTTTGAGCCACATATGATTAAATAGAGAGAGAGTTATGACATTTGAAGTTTTCATTAGTTAGACACAAATTGACAACACTTTGACGTATCTTGCGAGGTCCTCTCCAATTTTGCCTTGTATTCAGACAATGTTATAAATATTCAATTTCGTAGCTTTTGATGACAGGATTTTATAGGAACATATTTGCAATAATTTAGGGTGTATGCATGTTGGACATTTTGAGGGCAAAATAGAAATTTCTGATTTGATTTAGTACAGAGCACATGGGAGGGGACCTGAGGGGATCTCTCAATGAGGGGACCTCCCAAGATCCCCAAGATACGTCACAGAGTTGCCAATTTAAAAATCAAACCTTATTTTTAAAATCGGAATTCCCTCAAGCTTTCACTGACCTGTTCCTGTCATTGTTCTGCTTCTATTAAAATAAACTTAATATCAAGGTGGTCTTTCCCTATAAGTATGTAATAAACAACATAATCACTTTACAATCCTACCTGATTTTCGGTACTTTTGAACAAAGATAACTAAAATCACGACAGCCAAGAGAGCCAAGAAAAGTGGTCCCACAATAGAAAAAAACCCTATTTCAAGTGATGTCCAATCAGATTTACTCTCCTTTGGATCACCTGGCATGGAAAATGTAACAAATTGTGAACAGAATGGACTTTCTTCTGAGTACATTTACATACGCACAATATTTGATTTCAATTCATTTTTTCATTTTGGGTTATTGATTAAAAAAATCACTGTAAAACAGTGCAAAGACTGATACATCCAAAGGTTACATAGTAACTCAGAATTACATAAAAGATTACAACATATTCACAACAATTGACAAGGAACAGAAATTATCAATTGAAATAAAGATTTGTTCAAAAATTTCAGTTTAAATTGATGATGAACATAAATTATAACAGAAAATATAACAATAAATACATATACTATCTGGATTACGCTTAATATTACATACATTCATTCCTATATCCACA